CACCAACATATTATACATCAAAGTGGTTGAATGACATACTCAAAATCCATTATAAAGATCACTTTACACATATAGTCAAAAATAGTGTACAACTTGTAAACAACATCAAAAATGTTCACATTAATGATACAGATTCTTTGATCTCTTTAGATGTATCAAACTTATTCACTAATATTCCTATACCAGAGGTTCTAGGTTTTGTTGAATCACATTTGTCAACTTCGAATATGTCTGATATTGAACTAGTAGAATTTTTGAACCTTCTCAAGGTTTGTTTAGAACAAAACTTTTTTTCATTCAACAATGAAATCTTTTCACAAACAAATGGACTTTCTATGGGATCTCCACTTAGCCCAATATTAGCAGACATATTTATGCACAATTTTGAAAAAGAAAAAATCCTTAAAAACAACCCTTTCCACTCAAATGTGAAATTCTATTATAGATATGTTGATGATATTTTGATTTTGTGGTCAGGTAACTTAGACTTATTAAATGACTTCTTGACTTATATTAATGACTTACATTCTAATATTAAATTCACATTAGAAATTGAAATAAACAAATCTATTAACTTCTTAGATCTTAAAATCTCACACAATAATAACAAGTTCAACTTTGATATCTATAGAAAGCCAACACATACAAGCACAGTTATAGACAATACCTCTAACCATCCACCAACACATAAATTGGCTGCCTTTAATTGCTACTTAGAGAGGCTATTAAACGTTCCTCTGTCTACGAAAAACTTTAATAAGGAACTAAATATAATTAAAACTATTGCTATAGATCAAAACTTTGAACTAGATATTATTGATAAAATGCTAACACATAAACAAAATAAAATTCAACAAAACTTAGTTTATATTAACAATCCTAATATGGTACATGAACTAACCACCAGTAAGAAATACATTTCTCTTACCTTTATTGGAAAAGCATCCTATAAAGTGGCAAGCTTACTTAAAGACCACTTTAAAGTATCTTTCAAAACCCCCTCCTCATGACATAAGTTATTTGTTCATAATAAAGATAAATTAGATCCCTTTGACTTATCTGGAATTTATAAATTAACTTGTAAATCTTGCCATTCTTTCTATGTGGGACGCACATTTCGAAATTTCAAGATCCGTTTAAAAGAACATTTGCGTTGTCTTAACCAAAATACAACAGGTTTTTCACATTTTGCCAACCACCTACTGGACTCAAATAACGACTTCGATTCAACTGAAGGTTTCGAAATCCTACATAGTTCCTACCATAGATTTACTCTTAATAGCTTCGAAAGCCTCGAGATATTGAGAAATTTAAAATTAAATCCTGTGGTTGCTTAAATGCCCAGATAATGTCAGAAACTCCTCCTGTTTTCTCAACACTAATCTAAATTTATCTTTCTAACTTCCTTTTTAACCTCCCCCTTTATTTCTATTCACATATTTTCTTGCAAGGGGTACATTTCAGTAAGTAATTTTTTTCCCGTAAGAAACCAACGAGCACGTTTAAAGATTAGGTTAGATTGTGTGATTTCACATCCGTCATTTTCTTCTTTTCTTCTTTTATTCTTCAGTTGCTCCACAACAGTTAACCCAGTCATTTCTTCTTCTTTCTTCTTCCTACAACATCACATACACTTGGTGATTGGTTCATGGCCCAAATCTTATATAATAAATAATAAATATTTCTTCACTCATAGTTTACATCTTATTACCTATACCCTGTCATGGGTTTACCCAAGAATTTTTTTGTTAATACTTGCCACCACCTGTAGAGGCCTTAACTTGACAGGTCTCCTTTCAAAAATGTTAGTTTTTTGAAAAAACAAGGTTGTTTAAAATAAGCCTTATCTTTTAATCTGTTTAATGTATGTGATTTGTTTTGTATAGTCTTGAATATTTTAAATTTTACTATTTCAATTGACTAATATTTGTTTTTCAAATATTTTTAACTTTTTATTACTTGTAAACTTTGTTCATTTTACAATTTATTTCACCCAACATTTGATGAAACTTGTTTTGTAGTATTCCCTAGTGGATGGAGAGTATGGTGAGTTTTCTCTTTTTTACTATTTTATATATCGTTTGCTCTAAGTGTTAACACACCTTACACCACATATTCTCCTTTCCACTAGGCGAGCCTGAAGATGAAGTGATGACACTTCGAAACCGGTCGCACTCAATGTTTTGTTAAATAATTAAACATTGACTTTCCTTGTGAGATATAAAGGACTTTTTCTCCCCCTTCACCTTAAAATTCGAATAGGCTGTCACTCCCGTATCTTTGTTGTAATCCATTAGTTTGCACATGTCTATAAATACACTGCCCAAAATGAAAGTGACAGCCTTTTATAACTGCATTTGGAAATGTGTCTTTAAGTGTTTCAATGGCAGCTTTTTCAAAGTCAGTTATTTTTTCTTCTGGATTAAAATCTTTCATCCGAGCGATGACTGAGAATGCTGCTTGATAAATTGATTTTTCTTGTTAGGTAAGAGCATGTAAATTAGGGGAACTACTTTGTTATTGTGTAGTTCATGGATTGTCTATAATTATTTGAATACAGGGGTACACCGTAGAAAGTGCCATCAGCTAGCCATATTTTGTATGATTTTAAATACTCTAAATTTTCCCCTGTAGTAAATATCAAAAATCTCTTATTGCCACCTTCACTATCGTGATATAAAACGTTTTGCCCCCTAACAATATTTTTATAGGATTCGGGGATTACCATACTCTCTAGGTCTACCGGATCTGTGAAGTAATCTTTTTTGTTAGATCTCGTTCTCTGGACCATTCTGCTCAAGCTGAAGTACTCGGTAGATCCGCTAAGGCAGCAACCGTGATGTTACTGGTACATAGAGTTGTGAGGCTACTCGTTGCTCGATATGTAGTTTCTGCCTTTCTTTTTAAGGTTCTTCACTTCAACTGCTACCGCGTAACACTGTTCCTGTAAAAACATAACCAAAACATTAATTTGGAACATGATTTTTACTATTGCAGATCAACATGAAAATGTAAATTATATGTATTGACTCACCTGACTTCTTCATATTTGTTGTGTAAATCCTTGTTTTGCACTTGCAATCAGCATGATATTTCTGGCGCCTCCACATAACACTTCTATCACTTTGATTCTGCACTGTATACAAGAACCCTCCTAATGTAATTTTGACTTGTGACAAAACTCAAAGCCATTATATATGAATTTCTAGACCCGTGTTCTGTTTGACGAATTAAAAAAAACTATTTTATTATCCAAAAAGTTATCAAAAAATTCATGTTGCGGGCGAAATTTCACGGGGGGTGGGGTGTTTTTTTGGGGGCGTTTCGACAAGGGGCGTTTTGACGGGGTATTTTGTCGCAAGGCGTTTTGACGCAGGGCATTTAGGTCGGTTACCGTTCTCCGGCGTAGCTAGTTGCCCCTTGTTTTTTTTACAAGTGTAAGGAATCTCAGTCTTGCTAGACCTTTGCAGTAGCACAAAACGTGTTCTGCAGTTTCCTCCTCTTCCTGATAGAATCGTTACAAGATCTCTTCTGTCAGGCCGATATTATAGATATGTTTGTTAAGCCTACAATGCCCCGTTAATAGGCCTACTAGAACTGTAGTAGTTTTCCTATTAAGGCTTAGCAGATGCTGGGTAAGTTTACGCGATTGTCTCTGACCTGGTGAATTTTTCCACTACTCCTAAAATTTTTTAAACATCTGCTGTTTTTGTGCATTTTCTGGTAGTTGTCTTTGTGATACCAGAGAAGAATTCTAGGCCAATAAGAGCCTTTGAGGCTCCTTCTTGTCCAAGTAAATCAGCCTCTTCGTTGCTCTTATGTCCTTGTGGCCTGATACCCAGGCCAAGGTTAGTCTGTTTTGACTACCCTACTCTGTTAGGGCTTCCAAACAGTCCCACACAAGCTTTAAGTGTACCTGCATAGAACTGACTGTCTAGGTATATGACAATGGTTTTTTTATTTACCTTGTGTCTTAATAATTCTTTTGCGCAGTGCTATAGCCACGTCCATGCAAACTACTTATAGGTGGTGGACCTTTGTGCAGTCAGTATATTATAGATCTGGCTTCGCTTTGAACGAATATATGTAGTGGTGTTAGATTTAGCATGACTTCCATAGCTTCTGTTGGAGTCATTGTCATGACTCCCGTGATACCCAGGCATATGCTTGCCTTTGAACATCATTGATCTGTCTAGTGGCTCCATCTTTCCGGGTCTTTGGCCACTATACTACCATAGACCTAATTTAAAGGATGTTGTATACCCTGTTGGGTGACTTTTTTCAAGTGTTGATTCCATTTTAACCTGTTGTCGAAGGTAACTCCTAATTATTTAGCCTCTTGAGCAAATGGGATCTTCACTCCTTTTAATACTGGTGAATTTAGTTCTGTCGTTACTTTTCGTTTTGTGAAGTTGACTATTATATATTATTATATTATATATATTATAGTTTTGTAAGGGTTTACTGTTAGTTCTTTCTCTCTGCACCACTCGTTAACAATTTTTAGAACGGTTTGTGTGCGCTTCGATATTGCACCTGTGAACTTACCTCTTACGACGATCGCCATGTGATTGATATACCCTAGGCAGTATAAGTCTGCAGATATTAGCCTTTTCATAAGTTCGTCCACTAGGACTGACCAAAGGAGGGACATTCCCTGCTTGCTTTTAGTTTAGTTCTTAGTTTTGATTTTATGAGAGATACTTTTAATGATAGTACTTTGGATTAAGAATTTTGTTTTACAATTGTTAATGTAAAGTTTTTAAAAAAATTATGAATTGATAAGAAACAGCTATTTTTTGTTGATTATTTTTTGATGTTATTATCAAGATGTAGGCTTTCTAGTAGAGAATCTATGTCTATAGCCAGTTCTTCTAAAGACCTCATTTTAAAGTTGGTTTGTACCGAGAATTTGAGACCGTTGTTTAAAAATTTGATTTCTTTATTAGAGAAGTTATTATTGGTAAGATTTTTAATTCTGTCTATAAATTTAAATTCAGAAAACTTACCTCTGGAGAGTCCAGAACCTTTGGATGAGTAGTACGCTGAATTCTTTCTATTGACTAAGAGATGAAGTTTCATATTGACTTTTTGAAATATGTTAAATAAAATCATCGAGATGATTATTTAAACGTTCTTGAAATGGTAAATGTTGACTGATATTATTAATAATGAATTTGAGTTCAGTATTAATCGTATCTAGTTTAGCATAATGAACACAGATTTCTTTATTAAGCAGTATGTGTTCCATATCTAGTTTAATGTTAAGTGGGACATTTCTTGATGTTCTGATGGAGGCAAATGTCGGGGTAATTTTTTCTTTTACGCATTGTTGTATAAACCAAATATAAATATCTATCAATTGTCTTCTAGTGGTCAGTCGAAGGTATCTATCCATAATGTGCTGTACAGTAGTCAACAAATAAGAAGACTGAGCTTCAGAGCCGTCTTAAAAGACGTTACAAATTAAACTTATTAATATTAAAGAATTAAAAACGACTTATGTCATTGATACCTTCTACATGGAATTAGTCAAATAAAAAATTATAATTGTTAACAACAAAAATCGTAGTTACACATTTAGGGACAGTATAGGTACCTAACCCCAGTTGATTAATTAAAATTAAAACATTAATGTACAATTGTAAAAATTATTAAAAATAATACATATTTAACGGTACAACGTGCAACAGTTGACAAGCATACCTTAATTTGGTAATTGACAGTAGACAAATAACAAAGACAGACTGACACAAATCAATATGACAAGTAAAAAGAGCGTTGGAGTAGTTCTGGAGTCACCTGGGTTAGACCAGACTTATCATCAAAAGAACTAAAAATTTTATATTAATGAACAAGAAGGAAAGGGATATACTAGGTTTCTAAGGACATGAACCATACAGAGAACCCAAAAGACTTAAGTATATTTGGTTTCGAAAACAATTTAACAACGGAATTTTGTAGAGCAGGCTAAAAGGCAACGACTCTAAATCCATATTAGGCCAGATAACTTGAAGTAAATAGACATGAGTAGGCCATGACCCATATATGGCACCTAGTCGAAAAAAAGGGGTAAATAAAAAAGGATGAACGGGAGAGTTATAGAAAAGTGATGAAGAATTTTTTTTAGACTGGTGTAGAAGGCGACTAGTTTCGGTCAATGCCTATCAAGAGAAAACATAAACTAACATAGTTTAAGATACAACTTAGATAATCAAAATTAAATATGGGTACAATGTTAAGTGATAAAATAAGGATTTACAAGGAATAATAAGATTTGGTGCTATAGCAGCAAGTAACAAACGCCAGTGTAAAATGGTGAAAAAAATATTTAGAATAATGTAATACTAGTAACGAAAACAAAAGTTAATTAATACCAATTGATAAGATTAAATGATATAGTAACAGGTGTGAAACAGTGCACAATTAAATTAGGTAAATGAAGTATTAATAAAAACGGGAAATATTATTCAATGCAAATTGATTAAATTAAGTGATATCGTAACAGATAACTTAGATAAATGTAACATAGTGAACAAAGGAATGAAACAATGAAATATTAGTAGGTAAAGTCGACAATGTACCTAAATTATAAAAATTCAAAAGCGTTTTCAACAATGAAATTTGTAAAAACCACAATGGTAACAATAAAATACAAAACTTATAAAATTTAAATTAATACAAATACGAAAAAGAACACTACAATTATAAAACATTTGTTTCTGTTGAAAACTATTTTGTCTCACAGGATCAATCCAAAGATTGTTAACACTTCTTACTGATATGTAAATTTCTTTTTAAAGCAAGAAAATACTGATTGTCATCTAATCTTCCGACGCAATCTCCAATATTGTTCAATTATTTGGTAGGATCTTGCACCAACCACGCTTTACAATCTAGATGACATTCAGAGAGTTATCCGGTTGATAAACGACTTAATAAATATCTAGTTCCCCTCTGACAATAACTCACGCTTGATAAAATCTTTCTTTCATATCGAGAGCGGGCTGGACTTTAAATTCTTTTTTTCCGGAAGTTTTCCCTGATCAGCTCAACATAAACCATAAATATTTAAATTATATCGCTTTTTGCATGAAAATGATTACATATTGAGTAAATTAGACTTAACTTTATTATATTTGACAAGTAAAACTATTATACTGATATGCAAATGAGGGTATCGTTTTTTGTGTTTTGCGACCCCGTACGAAATTTTTCTCACTAAACGATATTAAAAAAAAATGTATTTCCCTAAATTTTTTTCTTTAAAATGTCCCAGAACATACTTTTTTTTAATTTTGAAATATCTTTTTCGGCATAATTACAAGCACTGACAAGGAGGATTCGGCAACATGGCGGCCGGCTATCATGTAGGCTGATATTTGACTGGTAGCACATGTTTATCAAGTGATAATGTATTAGTTAATATGTGTTTCACAATTTGTACATGTAAGCCACAGAGAAATATAAACTTATTAACCAAAACATAAAACACAATTCGTCCTAAATCTAGTGTTTATTTTAATGTTAAGTAAAAGCTTCAGTAGGTCCTGCCAGTATTGAGATACAGGCTTCAGTTAATAAAAAACGTATCAGGTATCAGCATTTTAGTTCTACACTGTCGAGGTGAGTAATGAATAATGCTTATTTTTAATTTGTCATTTGTTAGCAAGCTTACAAGTTATTATAATTTATATAGTGAAATCTGAAATCATTAACTTTGTAACTACTGGTGACTCCTTTGATCTTTATCTTTTTTAAGAAATTATACATAGACGATGATATTGAATAAGTAATTTTCGGATAAGCACTAACGAAAGTTTTTGTTAATCAAAATAACAAATTACTTTGCTACTGTAAAACATGAGAGCTGTGTACTCCAAGCTTTATTATTCCTAGACAAATGGCCGCAAATCATTTGAATATCTGTACTTAGCTGTGATATCCAATAGCAAATGATGAAGGTTTACCAAATATTAACAAGAATGTTAGTAATTCAGATTGTAGTATTGTCATCTGCTCTTACCGGAAAACAATATAAGAATTTGATGGTTTAAAAGAAACTATAGTTATTTTTTTAAAGTGGAAGGGTAGTCTTTGCTGAATAGTAACGTAAAATTCAAACTAATTTATTGGGGGCAGCAGCAATATGTAATAAAGAAAACTCTTAAAAGATGATCCAAGCTTTCGGAAATTTAATTACACCTTTTATAGATTCCCTGAAGATGGAAATAAGTAATTAAATTTCCGAAAGCTTGGATCATCTTTAAAGAGTTTTCTTTATTACATATTGCTGCTGCCCCCAATAAATTAGTTTGAATTTTACGTTATTTTTTAATACAGAATTATATTAGATTTTTGGTAATTGATTTAATTGGCAGATAAAAAATAATAGGAGTAGCAATTTATTAAGTTAGTGGCATTTTAACTGTGTACAGCTACTTGTGACTTACAGTCGACTCTATTATGGTTAGCAAACTGCAAAATAGTGCCACCACTTAACATACCATTTTCTGATTTACAAGCATGTAGTAGGGGGGTGGGTGGCTCAGTGGTTAGAGCCTGTGCCTGTGAATCCAAGGGTCCCAGGTTCGAATCCCACCGTTGGCCGGAATTTTTTCATTTAATTTAATTATTTAAAATTAATTCTGATGCCTTGGTAGGATTCCCCACTCGACCATTCACTGTTGGGTTCTAATTAACAGTGCTGTTCCTAAAGTGGCGCTGGGAAACAGTAACAAAGCCTACACAGAACACACATGATTGAGAATTTAAACACAAATTTGAGACTGGCATATTAGGTATATACACCTAGGCCATAAATCGAAAAAAAAAAGCATGTAGTAGGCACAGGACCGCACTTAGTACAAGTTGAGAATACTTTCTTTATATATTCTAAAATACATACTCCCATCAGAAATAAATATACAATATGTAAGTATTCTAAACAATGTTCAATCCATATTTTGCTGAAATAACTAAATTATGTCCTAACGGAAGTTATTTTTCTATTTTTCAGCATTTTTGAGCACTGATAATCGTGGGCTGCAGAGGAATTGGAATGAAGCTAAAGAACATTTGCGATTGGACTGGATTACGCAGTGCCGAACAATTGTTTAGATTAGATGAAAATAGCGAACTCGCCAATGTAATTGCCAACGTTAGGGGAGGGGAGACCTGATTTGGCATAAAAAGAAGAAGATAATTGACTAAATAATAATAATAATAAATTAAAATTAGAATGAGTCACGACAGCGGGGCTACAGGGACTCCACTCTACCTTTTCATAAGTATTGTGGATAAACTAAATTTATGGTTAAAATGTTCTAAAACTAAACACTACCTAGGTAAAGGTAAAATGCGAACGGTTATTTTCACAATTTAACTTATACCCTTATTGATAAAATCGACTGGTTTATTCAGCATGTTGTAGTTTTTGTCAGGTAAGAGAATATCTGATAATGAGCACAGATGCTATCGTATAACGTCAATCACATTATCTGCCTTATCTTTAAATGGGTAATTTATTTCCGGATGGTGTCTGCCATATGATAAAAACTATATAACGGAACAGACATGACCACACATACCTAAAACTCTTGCCCCAGATTTACATAAACAGGCCCACCCAGTAATATTGTTAATTCCCAACAATGTGGTGTTGTATTGAATGAAACACTTTCTTCCTTCTGCAGCTTGAAATCTAGAAGGTATCGAGGATCGTATTTGTCGGATCTGACCATTTCCTGCAGGTTCAAGGTGCAGGGTTTAGGACATTTGGACGTCGCCGTTTCGGCGTGGCCATTTCGGCGTGGCCATTTGGACGTCAGGCCATTTCACCGCCGGCCGTTTCGACGTCGGCCGTTTCGGCGTCGGAAATACAATTTTTTAGTATGTATGTTAAAACCGCTTTAAGTTTTAGTATTGAAATAAGTGAGGTATTGCATAGGATTGAAATAAATGCTTTTATGTGTTTTTCAAGTATCTATCAGAATTATAATAATAGTGTAATTAAAATTTTATAAGAACATTAGGGCGATT